GTTTGTGTGTATGTTTTTACTCAATTTTTTTTTTATTAATTAAAATTTTTTAAAAAAATATCAGGTTAAATATTTATTTTTATTTTTATATTATAATAAAAATTAATATTATATTTAAAAATATCGTATTAATATTTATTTATATCAAATGATATCATTATTTCAATTTTAAAATTCAAACATCACGAACAAAAGAAGCATATCAATCCATCATGCGTATCTATATTTTGAGCTTATTTACATTTTTATAGAACAAACCGTAATAAAGTTAGAATCTTTTTTCACTTTTGTATAATTGAATATACTGTTTAGAGTAAAAATCGTAAAAATACATCTGTTCATCCAATTCATTTTTTAGTGATATAATTTTTCATAAATATTACTAAAAATATTATTATATATTACAAAAATAATAGTATTTTATTGGTTAATAAACTGTGTAAAGAGTTTTTGATATTTTTGTCATTTGACTTTATATACATAATAATTGTATCTGTAATGATATATTTATAATTTAGGTGAATTTTAAAGCTATCTTAGCATTAGTGTATAATTATTTACTAAAATAGAAAATGGATATTTTTGAATGAAATAAACTAAAAAAATACTTTAATTTGAGACTGGATGATTATAAAGTAAAATAATTTAATAAAATTTAATATCAATCAACAGTAACATCTTAGGGTGTGTTTATTTTATATTTTTGAGTGAATTTATTTTTTTATATTAAATATGAGAACTTATGTCGATAATATTATATATTGTGTTAATATATATAATATTTTTTAATAATATTTGAAAAAATATGCTATTAAAAAACAATACTCTTTCGGTCCCATAACTATGTATCAATTTGATTTTTGCACAGGGTTTTAAAAATATTAGTATTATATTGAGATGTAAAAAGAATAAAATAGAAATGACTAAAATAACCTTATTAGCATAGTGTGATATAAAAGTAATGACATCTGTGTAATATATTATAAGTTGTAAGGGTATTTGTTTAGTTAGATAGTACAACTACTAAAAAATAAAATAGATACTTTGTTATAAGACGGGCTAAAATGAAAAAATTGATATTTTGTTATGAGACGGGGTATTATTTAAAATAAAATAATAAAATGAAACTTTAGTTGTATTTCTATTTTTGTAGTTTATCTACAATAATTTATTTTATTTTTTCTTCAAATTCATACATATATATTTATATATATATATATATTTATATGCTCCCTCCATCGTAAATAAATATATATATATATATATATATCAATTTTGATAAGGTATGAATTAAAAAATAATAATAATGAAAATAAATTTTTTTAAGGTAAATTAAAAGTAGAAAAATAAAAATTTTTTACTTAAAAAATAAAATAAGAATAAATTTAAATAACAAGTAAAAAAAATTAGATGAAAAGAATATCAATTATTTTATATAATATCTTCCAAATAAAATACAATCAAACAAAACCAATAAACATACTCTTTATTAAATAAATATAAATTTCATAATATTAATAAAATATTTTTTATAATATTATATTGAAATACTCCATTCATAGCCATCTTTATTTAATGTAGATCCTTATAATATAAAAGTATTTTATCATTTACATACTTATCTATTAATCAAATACAAATTTTATTATTTATTAATCAATACAGATATTGTTTTATTTAATGTAGATCCTTATAATTTTAAAGTATTTTATTTTTTACATACTTATCGATTTATCAAATACAATATTTATTCTTCATTCATCGACACATATGTTGTTAGTACTCCAAATTAATATTTCCTCAGTTCCCAATAAATGATTAATTTAATATTTATAAAAAAATTTAATTAGTTAATAATATTAAATTATGATATTATTTTATTATTATTATTATTTTTTATGTAAATAGTATTACTAGTATTTTTCAAATAAAAATAAATATATATAGTTAAAAAATTTTAAAATATGTCTTTGAATATTTTAAAAATGACTATATCTCATTATAATATATATAAAATATGATTATTATTTTGTAGAGAAATTTATTTTATGTAAATAAGTAAATAATATATATATCTAATATAAAATAATTCTATAAAAAATGGATGTTTTAAATATATATAAAAATACTTATTTATCAAAAATAAATGAATTTTGAGTAAATTCTACATAATATATGATATTATGTATTATGAAGTTAAATAATTTAATTTATATTTGTTAAATATATTTTGAATTAAAAATATAGAAAAATGTCAAATAAATTGAAACAGACTAAAATAAAAATATATATAATTTAATATAGAACAATGGAGTATATTCAATATATATGGTTTCGATATTTCAAATATAAATGGACAATACATAATAAATAGATAAGTAACATATTATTTAGATTAATATAATACAAATACAATATATGAACGGACAATATATGACAATATTTCAATATATATATAGTGTCGATATTTCAAATAAAAATGGACAATACATAATAAATAGATAAATAATATATTATTTATATTAATATAATACAAATATAATATAAATACTTACTCCGTCTCAATTCAAAGTACTCTTTTTCTATTTTTGTCTGGCCAATTTCAAAGTATTTATTTCATATTTTAGAAAAAATAATCATAGACTAATACCAAAATACCTTAACTTTTATTTAAATTACAAACGTACCATTACACGTATAATTACTTTATACAAAAAGTCAAAGAACAAAAATACCAAAATCTCTTACATATTTTCACTAACCAATAAAATATTACTCCCTCTATCCCAGAACTATAGTCTTAATTGAGTTGGGGATAAGATTTAAGGAATATTGATATTACATGGGTAGTTGGTAAAAAATATGGATAAATACTTTTTTGTCCTTGTGAGTGTATTAGTGTAAAAAATAGTGACAATTGTGTAATAAAAATAAAAAAATATGAATAATTTTATGGTGATATGGTTATTTATGGAAATAAGACTATTGTTTTGGAACATACAAAAATAATAAACAAGACTATTGTATGAGACGGAGGAAATATTATTTTTTAATCTACTACAAAACCCGAAGAACCTCTTTCAATCCATCACATGCGTTGGGAATTTTCAACATGCCATTACAATACAAACAAACATCACAAAATCTAACTAATTATGGGCCAAACCTCCTTTGCGATTACTGTAGGTTTGGAAAATGGCGCGGAACTCATTTAATTTTCTTTTGTTCAACAGTTGCCAATATGCTACAGTTTTTTACTTTTTTTATTTAAATTCGAAAAATTCAGGGGTTTTGTGCACGACCGTGCACAGGAACATGTAATTATAATTATTTAATATTTATTTATATTATAATAAATTATATATAATATATGTCATTTTGTAGAGAATAATTTTTTTTATAATACAAATAAATAAAAATTTAAATATATATATATATATTGGGTACATTATAAATTTAAATCAGGTCATACAATATAAATTTTATCAATTAAATTAATACACATTTATATTATTTTATTCATTATCCATTAAATTAATACCATCAAAACTCTCAAAACTCCAACCAAACCCAAACATAAAAGAAACAACAAAATTCAAACCCATCTCAAAATTCAAAATAAAAACCAAATTCAAACCTAAATTCCCCCGAACCCCTCTAAAGAAATAGACCCGTAGTGTCTATATTACTATTACAATAAAATTCAGTATAGTGTTAATAGTATATCGTGTGTAATTTTGTTATCAAACAAGACACGACATTAGTGTAGAAAATACGTAATTTATGTTAGTATAATATAAATACAATATAAAAGAATCAAAACATATGACATATTTTTATAAAATAAATACCTAACATATTTATAGAGTTTAAACATAAATAAATAACACATATTTTTATTGCATGTAGCATATACTACTTGCAGTTTAAATTTATAATAAATCTAATAGTGCTGATTTTTTCTAATTAGCATTCCTTCCGTTCTTTTACGGATTATTCCTTTTTACTTTTTGTCCATTTCACAAAAACGATCACTTTCAATATTTTAGTAATTTTATTTATTTTAAATATATTTAATAAATAAATTAATTTAATTAAATTTATCACTTATTATATGTGAAACTCAATCAAAATTCTTTTATTTATATTTGTCTTCTCAATAAATAAATATTTTTATTTATATTTAAAATTCACTATTTTTTTTATAAAATTGGTTTAAATTAATTATAAATAAATAATTATTTATTTATTTATTTATTTATTGTATACAAAATGATATATGTATTATATATATTTTATTAAAATATAATATTATAAATACTAAAAATATAAATAATACTAATCATATAAAAGTAATAAAATAATATAATAATTTATTATTAATGATTTATTAATTTACTCTGATAGAAATGAATTTAAGCAAAGAAAATACAATAACTAAGCAATCACTATAACATGCAGATAAAAAAAAAAAAAAAAAACACGTAAAAAGTGTAATTAATCAAATTATTTTTTAAAAAACCTTTAAAAATAGAGAGGATCGTCTGTCTCAGACATAATTCTATACAATTGTTTTATACACACAATGTGTATATATATACATAGGTATATGTATAAAATATTATTTTATATATATATAAATACACTATGTATACGAGGATAGAGAGATAGAATTTTTTTTTTGGGACAGGTGATCATGGCCCTTAAAAATGTCATGTCCGGTCACATAATTCCCGGTCCCGTTTCTTCTTCTTCTACATATCTTTTTTTTATTATTGTTCCCCACCGCCTCTCTCCTCCTCGTCGCTTCATCTCATCTCGACACGTGTACACTAACCGTTCTACCTTCACCCACCGGCATGTCACTTTAGACTAACCCTAATGCTACTACTACTATACCATTACCATACATGCATGCTATGCTCCACTTAACCGCGGTTTAACCCCCACCTTAACCATGGTTAAATCCCCACCTCCCCATCAATTTATATACCACTCCAACCCACTCTACATACAAACCCCATTTCCCAAAACGTTACCGACTCATCAATACCAAAAATTTCAAAAAATAAAAAATAAAAAAAAAATTATTAGATACATAGATGATGCTCGGAGAAAGAAGCTTCGCCGGAACCGCAGTGCACGTCCCGCCGTGGTCCGCCGCCGGAGACGATCCCGCCGCCTTCGCGGCCAATGTCGGCGAAGACTACTCGCAGTTTTTCCACGCCGACTCCTTGCAGGCGCTGCAGAGGTACCTGCCGTCCAGCGCCGACGACGACTTTTCGGTACCGGATTCTGATTCCGGCGGCGGCGGTGTGGATGCGCATACATGCGATCATTTCAGGATGTTTGAATTCAAGGTTAGGAAGTGCACGCGCGGCCGGTCCCACGACTGGACGGAGTGCCCGTTCGCGCATCCCGGCGAGAAGGCGCGCCGCCGCGACCCGCGGAAGTTCCACTACTCCGGCGCGGCGTGCCCGGACTTCCGGAAAGGCGCGTGCCGGAAAGGCGACGCGTGCGAGTACGCGCACGGCGTTTTCGAGTGCTGGCTCCACCCGGCGCGTTACCGCACGCAGCCGTGCAAGGACGGCATGGGGTGCAAGCGGCGCGTGTGCTTCTTCGCCCACTCGCCGGACCAGCTGCGCGTGGTGAGCCCCCGCGCCGCCACGGACAACTACGACGCCGCCCGCCTTCTCTTCATCTCGTCGCCGGAGTCGCTCTCCCCGACGGCCGAGTCGCCGCCTATGTCGCCGCTGACCCCCACCGCCGTCAGCGACATGGTGGCGTCGCTCCGGCAGCTCCACCTGAACAAAGTCAAATCCACCATTTCCACCTCCCCCCTCGCCGGCTGTTCTTCCCCCCGGATAAAATTCGCCGCTCCGACCGGATACTTCAGCCTGCCGACGACGCCGACACGCGCCGCCCTGGCGCGTCCCGGAATCGGATGGGAGAGGGATGACGTCGCCGGCGAGGAGGAGGCTGCCATGGAAAGGGTGGAATCCGGTAGGGATCTAAGGGTAAAGATGTTCGAGAAGCTCAGCAAGGAGAATCCACTGGACCGGGTCGACCCGGACCCGAATCCAAACCCGGACGTGGGCTGGGTCTCGGAGCTCCTAAAATAAGCCCTAATTTTCATCAGCTCCGGTGGACCGATTACATTTGGGTAATGTTATCTGAGGGACAAAATGGTCAATTCACGAACACTAATCTGTAATTACTGCAAATTATGTTCATTACTATATATGATTATTACCACAACGGAGTGAATAGATATGTCGATCGCCATGGAGACGGCCCAAAACAAATTTTCCCAGAAGAAGAAGGAAGAGAAGGTACGTTTTCCATTGTACAGTGTAAGAGAATTAACAAGATTTGTGAATTTTCAGATTTTCTGTCTTCTCCAAACCATAAAAAAGAATCAGCACCAGAGACAGACAGACAGACAAAAATGGGGTTTTCCATTCAAGCTTTCACAATCATATATACATATATATTGTTATATAAATCTGTGTGTATGTATATATGAAGATGAAGATTGCAGTTTGATGATGGTGATTATTATTATTATTATTATTATTATTATTATTTTTGCTTGGAGCAGCAGCCGAAGATGATGATGATGTAAATATTTTATTTGATGAGGCAATTAATATTAATTAATTAATTAATTAATGTGATGCTAATTTCTAGTAATTAATTTTTTTTTTTTAATTTTCACTGTTTTTGTTTGTTAATAAAAATGAAAAATAATAATAATAATAAGATAAAGGAGTCATAGGTCATGAGGATAAGATTCGGGTTAGGTTTATTGCCGTAATAAGTATGATTTGCTTCAGACATATCTGGAAAAATATATATATAAAAAAGATATTGTTGATTCTAAATTAATAGACCTACCTGCTTGGTTGATGATTTCTTATTTTTATTTTATTTTATTTTATCTATAGGATTGGGAAGATCTTGGGATAAAAGTAGGATAATTAATTTAATTGTCGGGAAATCGTCAAGTCGTTAGTGGAATCAATGACAGAAGGCAAATGCTCATATTTTTAACAAAAATATTTAGGACATTTCTCTGAACTAATATGTAGTATTTGTTTTTTTTTTTTGTTTAATAAATAATAATCTAATAAATTTTATATTACGGTTTAACATATTTTTATATTATTCAAGAATAAAATATAAATTTATAAAATGTAATTACTATAATTAATAACAATTACGATTGTGCATATCGTCAGATTCATGGTAGTTTCCAGTCCCCGAAAGAAAACATAAATTATTTACGTCACGTAATTTACTGTAAGAAAATTAGTATTCTTCGTCATTTAAATCTATATTTATTTTCTTTTTTGGATTGTTATCGAAAAATATTTTTATTTTTTTAAAGTAAAAAATTATTCTATTTTTGTACTATTTTTTACTATAAAAAGAAAAATTAATAATTTTTACTTATTTTTATTAAAATTTGTGTCTGATCAAATGAGCATATATTTACACGACGGAGGAAGTATCATTTATTATTTGTACTGTAGTATAATTCTCATTTTTTTATTATAAATTAAGATGATTATATTTCAGTATTGTCTGCTGCAATATTTAGTATGCTCATTTATTAAATTACCAAAATATTTAAAATTCATTTATTTTCTTGCCAAACTTATTAAGAGTGTAATGTTGCAACAATGACTCCTAACCTACCCCATATATAAAATTTTAACCCCCAAAAAGTTATTTCATATATACAAATGTACAGTAAACGAGCCGAACTGAGTTGAATTTTGTCACATTTGAGTTTGGTTGGTTAAAAAATCGAGTTTGTTTGTTAAGAGATACAAACTGAAATTTTTATTGAGTTCGACTTGCTTAGAATTTTTTTTTTTGTGTTTGGTTTGGCTCATTAAGATAATTTTTATTTTATTTTATTTATTTTTAAAAGTTTAAAATTAAAAACATAGAATTAAATATTATATTTATAAAGATATATATACATATTAAATATAAAATATTAGGTTTTTTTTAATAAATTTTGTTGAACGTTTGCGAACAAATTCGAACTCGTTTGTTAATATAATGGACCAAAATTTATGTTTGTATTCGGCTCGTTTAACTTGAGGAACAAACACTTAACCAACTTAAACAAGTCAAACCAGGAACAAACACTTAACCAACTCAAACGAGTCAAACCGAGCTATGTTCGCAAAAAATTTGTTTATTTTACAGCTCTAGCAGTGATGCAACCATGTAAATAAACTATCGTTAGAATGTCATTTAGAGCTAATACAACATGCTTATTAGTTGTAATCAACATATAAAATATTAACTCATAATATGAGGTATATATAAATTGTCATTTATATTAACCAAACACAAATATAATCCTCCCTTCGTCCAATGTATTATTTTATTTTTTTTATCCGTTTTAAAATAATGATACTATTTTTTAATTTAGAAATTGTAATATTTACATAATATAATAAATATTTTTACTGGGCATAGGTCAACTACTGAACCGGTTAAATAAGCATAATATTGATTTGACCGGATCAACATATGTTATATCGGTGACTAGCATATACTTATACATAACTCAGTATATTTATAATACAACATATGTTATATTATAACACATCATATGTTGTACTACGTATAAATATATGTTCGTCATCCGACGTACGTTGATCTGATCAAATCAGCACCATGTTGACTAGGTCGGATCAATACATGATCCGCAGTAGTCTTTATATTTTACAATATATTACACAGATGTAATCAAATATATTGCAAAACACTTATATCATCAGGATTACCTATAATGCATAAATTGAGTGAGATTTATAAATTTCCGTAAGTAGAAATTATGGATGATGTGAAGTTTATCTTCAAAATTCTCAATATGCAGAATGTGCTCTCGTTTTAAATCACCAATTTATTTATGAAATACTCTCCAGGGCCCCTAGACACACTGCTATACACCGGAAAGAGCTCAATAGCCACATATTCAAATCAAACGGTGGCCTACACCAGGTAGCCTACACCGGGTTTCCATGCAAGGTTTCCCCGAGTCGCTTCTTCCCAGGTCGCCTCTTCCGAATGCATTGTTTATGCATTGTATGTAAAGTTACAATAGACGGTGGCCTACACCAGGTAGCCTACACTAGGTTTCCCCAGGTCGCTTCTTCTCAGGTCGCATCTCCCGCCCTCGGTGTATAATCCGCGGTCTAACATAGTAAAACCATCTTATTCCACTTCAATGCATGATATGCATGCTTAATGAAAATGCAATGCAACATATTTCACAATATACATATATGATTGAACTCACCGGTTCAAACCACATCAATTTTGGAGCTCACAGACTCCTTCAACATCAAATATAGAGTTCACAGGCTCAACCATATCAGATACAGAGTTCACAGGCTGAAACCAATTTATATACGGAGCTCGTAGACTCAAACCACATAATCACAAAATATTAATCTCATACTACAGTTCTCTGATATTCACATATTATCAATCAAACATAAATAACTCACAGAATAATATATTTATGCATTGTAGTTGCAAATGAATTTTGACTTATTTGAAATTCGCCAAAAATGTCAATAACCCTAACTCTTAAAGCCCTTTTCACGATTTCAATATCGTATCTAACAACAATTAATTACAAATATTACCCAAATTTATTAAATAATTATTTATACTCAAAACTTCCTCTACTTAGTAAAATAACAATAATTCGTGAACACGAAAAAATATATGAACTAGGCTTTTAACGAATTCAAAAAAATTTTTTTTTTCTTTTTCTTCGCGTATCCCTCTGCCTTTCTCCCTCTCTTCTGCAATTGTAATGAAAATGATTTGGTTAAAGTGGGGGTGGGGATTATTACCCCGCCCCACCGCCTTACTTTATTATTATTATTTATTTATTTATTCATTTATTATTTTTATTTTACTTTTTATTTAATTACTATAATTAATTTTCAAGTAATATATATTTAACTTACACCACTAATATTCAAATAATTTATCCATCATATTTGTATTATACTAGAATCTCAAATAAATTATGATAATATTTTCTTATTAATAAACAGGTAAAACATATCCGAAATTATAAACAATTTAACATTCAATAATAAAATAAATAATCTAACATCACCAGTGACATATAAATAATATAAAGTGCACTCAAAGTATGAATTATACTCAACTAATTATAAATTAACACATAAATAATATAAACAGAACATATAATTAAACAATTAATAATCAAATAAACTAATGCAACTCATAAAGTATATTTAAACTACCACAGATTAACATATAAGTAATTTACCAACACCTAAAATATGAAATATATATTAGCCAATGAGCAGTGAGAACCTCGACTATCACACTATATATCACGTAAAAATTACTATTATATCAAAGTTCAAAATCAAACAAACTTAACAAGAGTTGTATATCAATTAAACAAACAATTAAGATCCTAAATTATATGCTAAAGCAAAATGTGATCGCCACGACGCTATAAAGTCGTGGTTATTTTTCAATGTTGGGATGGTGACCGCGGCAATTTGGGATGAGAATTACGACATGGTGATTTTATTTCAAATTGTGAAAATCTTTTTGTTTGACAATGTTGTCTTTATGAAGAAAATACATGTAGTGAAAGTATGAAGATGTAATTATGTATGGCCAAAAGTAGGGCAAAGTTTCAACAATCTTAGCTATATATGTTTAAGTGAATTAATAACATGATTAAGAACATATATAATGATGCCATTTGACTAAAAAGTTTATGAATTTGTCCCATAAAAAAGCTTTCCATAAGAAAAAAAGGAAGATATATATATATATATATATATACATAGGGGTGGGCAAAAAAATCGAACCGAATTGTCGAACCGTTAATCAAACTGAATTTTCGGTTAACCGAGCAAATTCAGTTCGAATACAAATACTGCATATTTGATATTTGCTCGGTTCGGTTCGGTTTCGGTTTTCGATATTTTTTTCGGTTCGGTTAACGGAACTGAATATATTTATATATTTATGTTATTATATTTTAAAATTTATATTAATAATTATATTCGGTTCGGTTTCGGTTCGGATATTTGAAATATTTGCAAATATTTTGATTTAATTAGAATTTTAATTAATTTTTTAATATATATATTTTTATTTCAGTTCAGTTCAAATTATTTGCAAATATATTCGATTAACTGAAATTTTCGATTCGAATACGGTTCGCGATTTCGAATATTTGTTCGATTCAATTCGAATATCAAATACCTGCATATTTTGCAAATATTCTAACCGTGCCCAATCCTATATATATATTCCCAGAAACGTTACATGCATAATAATAATAATAATTTCCTAGTCAATATATCAATCTTGGTAGAATGCTGTTGCAGTAATAATATCTATAGGATTGTTTAGAGATATTATAATTTCCTTGATCTGCTTGTTTTCAAAATTTTAGGGTACTTTTCTTTAAAAAGTATTTTTAAAATAATAAGTTTTGAATGTATTTAGATTGTACTTATGTCTGTATTTTGTATTTTAAAAGGTCTCGTACATTTACAAGTCCACATAGGATGAAATATATTACAACCTTTAAAAGATCTTCAAATTAAAGCTTAAGATTAAAATTAAGGAT